ACCCACATACATACATACATTATATTATATTATTATTATTATTATTATTATTATTAAGTATTTGAAGTTTGTTCACCACAGTGGGTGCGTTGGGTTTTGAACCCACTCACAGATTTCGAAATACCCAATTGCCCGCCTGAGCTAACCACTCAGGCGGACTGGGTCCCTGTTTGTTTTTGGGGACTGCTGTCTTTTGAAATGTATCCAACGTCAGGATGTGCCTGTGTGTCCGAACCCTCACGTCGCACAGTGTGACCCCTGCCGGCCTGAAATGGACTTTCTTGCCCTTACCGACCGGGTTCTTAGGGGGGGGGCGACCAGCAGGCACAAGCAGGTCCGGGCCAAACCTTTTTTAAGTGCGAACTTTGACGATTTTTCGCGCTCAGAAAAATTGGCAAAAAAATCTGAAAATTTGATATCCTGTAGATTAGGCCGTGATCTTTCCAGGAAAAAATATCAAAAAAATGAAAAAAAAAAAATTAACAGTGAAGTAAATGCCGCGCTGTTTCGTCACATTTTTCATTTTTACTACTCTACCACGTTTGGGCCAACGGGAAAACAAAACAAACTTTCGCAATTTTTCGCAATCAGAAAGATGACCCGGCAACTCTGCAAATTTGAGGGTCTATAGATTTGGTCGTGATCTTTACAGGAAAAATATTTTAAAAAATTAAAAAAAAATCATTTCAACCGCGAAATAAATCGCGGGGGTAATTCAATGCATTTTCGAATTTTGTCACTCTGCCAGTTCCCCCCACTGGACTACCGGTAGCCCTCATGGACCTGTGGTCGCAGCTGGGGTCCAGGTACATGTACAGATCAAGTTGTCGTGTGGGGTCCAGGTACATGTATAGATCAAGTTGTTGTGCGGGGTCTCTCTCTCTCTCTCTCTCACACACACACACACACACAAAAGAAAAAAGAAAAAAAATGGGGTAAACGGCTCGTGGGTCACAACCCACGTTTCCAATAGGCAAAAAAAACACCTGTGGGCAGGTCCATCCACGCCGCAGTGCGAAAAGGAAAAAATAACATCAGCCGCCGTTTCAGACATCAGGGGCAAGGTCCCACTTGCGCAAATTAGGAGATTTCGGCCATTGATCTTTGCTATCTACGGTCAGTATCTCTTAATTCGTGCAAGTGGGACCTATCCCCAGGCCTGATTGAAACGTGCACTTTTGTCATTTTCGGCAGGTTTTTTTTTTTTTTTTTCACGCATGACCTAGACATCTCGGTCGTGACCCACCCCGGCCGTAGTCTAGACATCTTGGCCGTGGCCCAACCAGACCGTGGCGTAGACATCTCGGTCATGGGCCAGCATGGCTGTACCTAGACATCTCGGTCGAGGCCTCAAGCCTTAGGAAAAAAAAGAAAAGCAGGCCAGTGCCGCGACCGTAGGATTGTCAGATCGTGCCACCGAAAATGGTTGCACCGAAATGAACACGGCCCCAACACAAAGATGACAGGCATAAATCGAGAAAGGTTCCTGAAAGGGAGATTAAAAAAGGGGGGGGGGGAAAGCGGCGCCACGTGGCCCTTACTTGAGAAGCTGGAAGCTGCAACTTCCAGAGTTCGTGACAGGCTCCCGTTTCTACGGGCAGCCTGTAACTATTTTAGGTGTATTCTTTTTTTTTTTTTTCATTTTTTTTTTTTCTTCTTCTTTAGTTGTTAGATTCTCTTCCCCCGATTCTCGTGGCAACGAGGAGAGAGCTCCCCTATCGCTGTGGCTCCATGTGGTGCTGTATCTTGCCATATTCCAGAGGAGATTAATCTGGTGAATGCAACTTCTTAGGGTTTGGCCCTACCACGTGCTACCGCGGCCCGTTCCAGTTGCACCGGGGCCCCCCCAGTGAGGGATCCTTGAAGGCTATCAGGCCACCCTAAGGCTATCAGGCCACCCTGGGCTGAAAAGGCCACCGTTGTCAGATTGGACACAAGATTGAATTTACCTGGGTCGGTTAGTCCGATGATAATACCTCAAGGTCATCGCCCTTAAAAAAAAAAAAAGTGGCATTCATGAGGTCTTGGGTTCAATCCCCATTGGCCTCATGTACCTTCTTGGGCATGCTTGGCGCCCGCCACCTAGAGATAGCCCGTTGGTCCCCCCAATTGGCATTAAAAAGCAGTCTCTGCTGATGTTCATAGGGGGAAGGGTACTCAGGGAGCCACAGCGACTGGCCACTCAGACGATGCTCGGTCCCTCTGCTACCGACGAACTTCTTTCTAGGCCTGCTCATATCAGGGAAAGAAAAAGGAAAAAAAGAAAAAGACAAAGAAAAAGAAATTTGTTGAATACTAACTGAGCCACTCCAAGCACCTATTCTGGCCGAGCCACTCCAAGCACCCATACCGACCGAGCCACTCCAAGCATATATACCGACCAAACCACTCCAAGCACATGTACCGACCGAGTCATTCCAAACACCTACCGACCGAGCCAATCCAAGCACCTACCGATCTAGCCACTCCAAGCACCTCCCCAGCGAGCCATTCCAAGTTTCTACCAACCGAGCCACTCCAAGCACCCATACCGACGGGGCTACTCCAAGCAGTGCAAGCACCTATACGGACAAAGTCACTTAAAGGCCCTATACCAACAGAGTCACTCGAAGGCACACACACACACACACACACACACAC